AGTGCCACACCAGTCTTCTTTCACAATGGTTCATAAATTGACAAGTGTGTCTTATAATCAATGGCATCTTAGATTTGATGAAATATAGTAAGTATAACTCTTTATCATAATCAAAAAAAAAAAAAAAGCTATATCTTATTTGTTATTTCCTTTGTTCTTTTTACAGACTTTATGCAGTTGGTGGCCGTGATGGAAGTTCTTGTCTCAAATCAGTAGAATGTTTTGACCCTCATACCAATAAATGGACACTCTGTGCACAGATGTCAAACCGGAGGGGCGGAGTGGGAGTAACTACCTGGAACGGATTGCTCTATGCTATTGGAGGACACGATGCCCCTGCGTCCAACTTGACTTCCAGACTCTCTGACTGTGTGGAGAGGTAATTTCTAGTTAAGGAAAACGAGAAACAACAACCAAAACCAATGTAAGCCTGAATGCCAAACAAATGAATAACTCTTCATTGAGAATTTACCATATACAAGACAACCCAGGACCGTTGTCAACATTTAAGTTGTCTGCTCTGGACACTCCTCAGTCTGTCTCCCCACAGCCTAGTCATATTCTTCTCTGCTCATATTACTGCCTACTTAAACCTTGACTTAGAAATGATTGAATAATCTGAATGGATTTAGAAGGTAGAATCAATAGAACTTGGTAGTTAATTAGATATGAGATGTGATAGAAAAGGGAAGGTCCTTTAAGCTCAAGAAACTAGGTAAATGCCACTGCCACTTAATAAACAATGGATTTCTGACAGAACAACAGAAAACGTTGCCAGATATGTCAGTAGACATGTTAGCTAGCTAGTTGAATATATGAATCTGGAGGTCAGAGTAAAGGTTTTGGTCAAAGATGTATAAGGGGCTTCAAAAAGTTCCTGGGAAAATAGAAGTTAAAAGATATGGAATGTTTCCACCAACTTCCTGAAGCCCCTGGTACATTTAAGAGTTATAAATACATAAGGATCTCAATATAGTGAGAGAGAGAAAGGACAGGTACGAAAAAATCAACATTTAGATATGTAGGATACATACAAAGTAAGAAAAAAAAAAAATGTAGCAAGTGGAAGAATAGAAGGAAAGCTCATCTAATGCACAAAGAATGTTCAGACTTCCCCTACTAACACCAAATATGTAACTGATTGGTTCAAAGCACCATTCCATCCACACCATATATTGCTGTGTCTCTTCCAGCAGCTTTCCCATCTGACACAGACTGTATTCTGTCACATTGACGGTTCAAGAGACAGGACCAGTTGTCTTGCTAAATATCCTGCTTTCTGAATTTGTGTGGTTCCTTTCTGGCTATGACATTTAGCACTCCTTTAGCCCCTGTATTTCTTTGAAACTGAAAAAGTTATATCTCAATGCTTGATGGGTTGAATTAGATTTTTGGCTAGAATACATCACAGTTCATACAGTATACTTCACATTACCTCACATCAGAAGATATATTTGGTTTGTCCCCTTTGCCTAGAAAGTAGTCTGTGTGTTGTTACTTTGGCATATCGAATTCTTGGTCACTCATTCACTTAATTATTTTGATACCAATTGATAATCCTTGCCTGGATCAATAATTTCATTAGGGTTTGAAAAACTGTGCTTCTCTAATTCTGTCATTCTTTTTACATTCATTACCGGGAATTGTTTTATAAAATAGAGCTTTCCCTATCAACTTGAGATCTTTAGTTATTCTAACATACAGATTACTTTCTTCTAACATACCATGCAACTTAGTTGTTCTAACCTGCATTTTTAGAATACAGGATAAAAGCTTTTTTTTTTTTTCATTTAATTACCAGTACTCAAATTAATGAGTTGTTTTAATAACTGTCTTAGAAATATAAATGGTGACAGGAAAGACATTGTCTATTCTCATGATGGCTATAATCTTGTCACTAGAGACCAAAAATTAATAATGGAATTGTAATAAGTGGTATAAAGGAGAAAAACAAACCATTTTGATATCTCTTGGGACTGAAAGGAGTGCTTCCAGAAGGAGATAGCATTTAAAAATAAAGCTGGAAGGGTGATTAGAAGTTGGCAGGCAAAGACCATTTCTGAGAAAAACCATAGCTTTGAATCAGAAAGGATATGGTCCTTCCAGGAAACTGAAACAAGGCTGTGAGGCTGGAAGCAGGTCAGGCAGGGCAGATCTCAAGAATCTTAGATTTTAAAGAACAATGGGAAGTGAGTGAGTGAATGTATGTGCATGCTGACAGGATTAGACTTTTTGAGATTAATGTGTTTATGTAATGAATTGCCAGTGACCAGGAGAATGATGAATAGCAACATCAAGCTTTGCTGATGACAGTGAGCTATTCTGTATACTAATAAGCAAATTTGGAGGGGTTTTTTGCTTTTGTTTTTTGTTTTGCCTTTTGAAAAAGCAGGTAAATTACACATAACATCTGTAAAGAAAACCCAATTTCCCCAAACAAGGTTACATTTACTGGTACAGAGGTTAGGACTTAGCATATCTTTTGGGTGGATACTATTCTGTCCATAACACAATCTAAAGCCTTAAAGTAGCTTTTCATATTTACATGAGTCCATTTGGGCAAGATAAGTGTTGTGCATCTGCTAAAAGATTCAATAATAGTATCAGTTAAAAGTTTTCAGGAGAGAGCAAACAAGATGGCGGATCAGGTAGAAATGCAGTGAGGAGCTCTGTTAGCAACAACACAGATTACCAGACCAAGCAGGCTCAGGGGACGGTCCCAAAACTCTGAACCACATATAAAGGAATATTTAGAAGACAGGAAGGCTTACTGCTAGGGGAATTCGTAGCAGAAGCAAGAAATCCATTGCTTTCTAATTCAAGAAGCACAGCTGCTCCCGGAGCCACCATCTTGGGTGAGGCCAAGCAGGGAAAGAATCAGAGCAGCCACGGACGCCTGGTGGAACTGCGGAGATAAAGGTGTGGACATGCTTTTTGTACCTGTTCATTGGTCTCTCGCTGTCTGCGCACCTCCGTTCTGGTGACTAGAGGGGGTGCCAGAGCGAGTAGACACCTCACCCCCACCCCCGGAGGGTTCTACTATGCATGCCCACAGAGCTCCTCAAAATTTAAAGTGACAGTTTCCACTTAACCCCAAATAGCAGTGCAAAATGGCCACAGACAGCCCTGAACTGTTTATCACTAGGAAAAAGGCCTGAATGGGGCTTGTGGAATGGGACAAACAGACTAAAAAGGAAATAGACCAAAAATTAGATCCTGAGTTACGTCAAAATGACTAACAGTGGCATCTTGAAATTTCTCAGGAAGAAGAGTGAAAAGGGAAGCCCATCTTCTAATCACATCTACCTGGAGGCAATCAGAAACCATAAAAAATACCAAAATACACACCCATCTAAGTATTAAGGCCACAGCTAACTCCTGAATATGCCAAAAATCAGAAACAGATGACCATATAAACACATGTCCAGAAACGAGATAAAGTGATGGAGGCAAATGAGCTGGAAATAGACCTACACTCCATACTGGAAGATGGGCAGGCTTTGGAAATGCCTGAAAAGGAATTCAGAAAAATGATTATAAAATGTATCAAAACACTATATAATGGAGTTGAGAAAAATAAGGAAGAAGTCAGGAAAGCGCTACAGGAACAATCAAATAAGATAAAAAACAGCATTGGAAATCATTCAAAACCTACAGAAAGAGGTCCAAATGATTAATAATATAATATCAGAAATGGATAATAGACTTAAAGGGCAAAGGAGTAGAACTGAAGAGACAGAAGCCAGAACTAGTGAGCTAGAAGATAAATCTCTCACCAATACTAAGAAGAGCAAGCACAAAAAAGGAAAAAAATCTGAAGAAGGCATAAGATTCATGTTGGACAACATAAAGAGGAATAACACAAGAATTATTGGCATTCTGGAACAGGAAGAATCCCACAAGTTCACAGAGCAGATAGTTGAAGAGCTTCTGAAAGAAAACTTCCCTAACATCCTGAAAAGTGAAAAGATAAGCATTCAAGAAGTTCAACGAACCCCAGGAAGGATAGACTGTAAAAGACAATCACCAAAGCATGTAATAATCAAGCTCTCCAAATTCAAAGATAAGGACAGAATCCTGAAAGCAGCCCTAGGACCATCAGGGGAGAAGAACACAAGCAGAATGCAGAACCTTATCCAGAGAAGCAGCCACACCAGAGACAGAGGCAGAGATGGGAACATGGAGAGAGGGAGTAGCTGAGGACTCTACATTTATGGAAAGAGAGGGACTGAGAGCTGGTGGCCAGGAGGCAGACTTGCAGAATGTGCCCTTTGGAGGTGTAAATTATTATATATGCCTGAGTGCTTTTTGTTTTAAAAAAAAAAACAAAAACAGCTAAAGTAAATAGAGAGAAATACTGTTAACTGATGGTACATGGAGAGGATTATAATCATTACAATGAAACAAGGTGTATGATTTGTTGAATGTAAAACTGATGATCTGCCATGTAAACTTTCACTCAATCCACAATAAAACCTTAAAAAAAAAGTTTTCAGGAAAATACTGATCTTTTTCTTTAAAATATATTAGATGTACTCTTATTTAGTAGATTATAAAACAGAAGATAGGCTTGAAGAATCAAACTGTTTTTACATAAAATATTTTAAGGTCCATGTCAGCTTCAGCTCTAAAATTTTCTTTCAGATATGATCCCAAAACAGATGTGTGGACTGCAGTGGCATCTATGAGCATCAGCAGAGATGCGGTGGGTGTCTGTTTACTCGGTGATAAGCTCTATGCTGTTGGAGGGTATGACGGACAGACTTACCTTAATACAGTGGAGGCTTATGATCCTCAGACAAACGAGTGGGCCCAGGTATGGCACGTTCTCTTTTTGTTTTTACATTTGCTCAGTTCTGGCTTAAACAATTAATGTGGTAAAACAAATCCTCTCAGTTTCATCCAATATGGAAATACGTAGCATAGAATACTCATATGATAAGTAATCTCTTGATTACACATGAGAAAGCCAGGGCAATCCCAAAATCTACAACATAATTAAAATCCAAAATTACCTTTGAAATGCCACCATTTGCTTGTCATGAATTGATAAATAGTCTAGCCTTGATAGAGTTTATAGGATCACAAGGTGGTGGTGATCATGTGCTGTGGAGTCGCTTCCAATTCATAGCAACCCTGTATAGGGTTTCCGAGGCTGTAAATCTTTATGGGAGCAGAACGCCTCATCTTTCTCCCATGAAGCAGCTGGTAATTTCGAACTGCTGACCCTTAGGTTAACAGCCAACTTGTAACACTACTATCAGAGCTCCTTAGAGGAGCCTAAGAGGATTACAATAAAGGGAGGAGGGACTGTGGAAAAGAGCAAACAAGGTTTGTAGTCAAAACATTTTGAGCCAATTCTCCACACATGAGCGAAAAACTTGTAAATACTCAAGTGACTGATATTTGGGAGCAGGTCAAATTTCTGGTCAGACCTAATAAAGATGATTTTTCTGTTGTTAAGTGCATCAAGTCAGTTCCAACCCATCGCGACCCTGTATAGGGTTTTCGAGGAGTGGCTGGTGAGCTTGAACCGCCAACCTTGTAGTTCAAACTGACCTTGCAGTCCAGCACACTAACCCACAGCGCCACAAATAAAAAACTTTGACTTGACAGGCTTACTCACAAAAAGAATTCTAGCTTAGTCTATTTCTGGGAAGGATCTAGCACTTCTAAGAATCATCTTTTGAAATCTTTGCTTCCATCATTACCAAGAACAGAATCAATCATTTTGTGCCTGTTACAGCCAGTTCAGAATCTGCTACATAAAAGGCAGTCAGTAAATGTATAAGTGAGCCAGGGCTTTACTCCGCACAAGAAGCAGTGCTAAGTACTATCAAGAAGGCACAACTTACAAGAATCCCTGCTGTGGTAGCTGTCACTGTTACTTATGTAGGTCATATCGACCTGTGCACGGAGTGGTGGTTGCTGTGAAATGATGGGGGTCCTGGTGGCACAGTGGTTTAGTGCTCAGCTGCTAACCAAGAGGTTGGTAGTCTGAAGTCGCCAACCACTCTGAGGGACAAAGACGGCTGTCTGCTTCTATAAAGATGTACCTTGGAACCCTGTAGAGAGTCACTATGAGTCAGCACCGACTCGACAGCATATCACCACTAGCACCAGCACTCTGCCCTGTACGGTCACTCTGAGTCTGAACCAACCAGATGGCAACGGCTTGGTGTTTGGTATTAAGTACTCAGTGGTATACACAGTGCGTGGTGTAGAAAATCAAAGAGAAAAACACTTAGGAGGACTTCAGGGAAAAGTGGGGCTTGAATTCATTGAGTTCAGCTAGGTGGTAAGAGGGGGGAATTCTATGAGGGAACATAAATAAATATCACTCTAGCAGAAATATGCAAGTTATATTTAATAATTACAGTTGTTATGGATGCAGTAGCTCCAAAGAGGGAACAAATCTTTACAGCGAGGATCATTCCCACCCCCTCCATACACAGAGTAGACAGGGATGGGCAACTTGGACACTGGCTACCCAAAATGAGGGTTGGGGAGGACTACTAAGGCAAGAAGTGACTGACTTACAAGCTGTCAAGAGGGAGCCTAGATCCAGAGGGTGCGGAGGAAGGTAGAATTTCCTCGGAGTAGTATCCAATCTGTCTAGGCGGGGCTGATGAAAGGCGATGGGGATAGGTCTCTTGTGATAAAATAGTGAATAATTGTTATCAGAACTGATTGTGAGGGTTGGAAATGTAAAGGTAGATGTTTTGTTGCAAAAGGAGGGGAGTGATTGACTTTCCAGTCTAGGAGCAGAGGTCCCTGGGACCATCAAGGGAAAAGAGCAGTGTATGGGACCCTACCAGAGAAACAGTGATGCCAGAGATGGAGGAAGAGATGATGACGTGGAGAGATGGAGCGGCTGGGAACTTAAGACCCAGAGAGGGATAGGGGCTGTGTGCTGATGACCAAGGGGCAGGCTTGTAGGGTATACCCTTTGGTTGGTTTATAATGCATGGAGGGGACTGTAACCATGGCAATGAAACGATATACGATAGGATAAATGTAAAGCTAATGTTCTCCCATGTAAACTATCACATAATTCACAATAAAGCATTATTTAAAAAATTATGGTTGATTTATAAGGACACATTCAAGGGAGCACAGTGGCTCTAGAGGATAAGCACTGGACTGCAAACCACAAGGTAATGGTTCAAGCCCACCAGCTGCTCCACAGGAGAAAGCTGAGGCTTTCTGCTTCCCGCAAAGATTTACAGCCTCAGAAACCCTAAATTTACTCAACAACATTTCACAACAACATAAGGATTCATGCTTGAAAAGAGGAGGAGTTCATATTGACTGAGGCCAGCATGGGGGTCTGTGAAGACTACATTAAAGGGATTGGGCATGAGAATCCAGCAGACTTTTAACCAAGAGAGTGACGCTCAGTGTGGCAGCAATTGAGGACAGGGTATATTGGGGTAAGGGCAAGCAGAGGTGAAAGCTGGAGAAGAGCAGAGCATTTAGAAAGGTACTGCAGTGGTAAGGGAAGCGAGGGGTGAATTCAAGGAGCCCTGGTGGGATGCTAACTACAAAATCGGTAGTTCAAACTCACCAGCTGCTCTGCAGGAGGAAGATGAAGTCTGTTCCCATAAAGCTTTATGGTCTCAGAAATCCTAGGGAGCAGTTCTGCTCTATCCTGGGGTCAAAATGAGTCGGAATTGACTTGGTGGCAGTGTGCTTTATGTGCTCACACTACTGGATCTATTAGAAGGTGCAACTTCTGAAAATAGCAAAGGACTGATCCGAAAGTTCCTTCGGCTATAAGTGAGAAGAGAATAGAGCCTTTAAAGGGATGAGAGGTTTCAGCCATATAAATGAATGAACATAGTTAGGCATTCTTGAGCTTTTCAGGGACCTTTGATGATGTGATAGAAGCAAAAGTCAGCACCCAGAGTTTAAAAAATAAAGAGAAAACAGGAGTGGAATGTGGGGCCCTATCCGGAGAAGCAGTGACACCAGAGATGGAGGCAGAGATGAGCGCATGGACAGAGAGAGCCATTGAGGATCTAGACTCATGGAAAGACAAAGACTGTGTGCTGGCAGCCAGGTGCTGGTGGCTAGGGGGCAGGCTTGCAGAATGTGTCCTTTGGTGGTTCAAATGATTATATATTCCTGAGTGCTTTTGTGTACATCACCCCCACTCCCACCCAAAAAAAAGAAATGGAAGCAAATACTGTTGAATGATGATGCATAGAGGAGATTATAATTATTGCAATGAAACAATGAGTGTAAAACTGATGTTCCAATTCACAATAAAAACTTTAAAAAAAATTTTTTAAGTAAAGGGAAGCTCTTTCTGCCATCTTGGAGTCTGTGGAGGCCTGCTGGGAACAGGGCTTCAAAGCTGGCACTATATCTGGAAGGCTATGGTCCAAGGCCATTTTTGTTGGCTATAAACAGGGTCTCCGGAGCCAACAGGAGCATACAGCTCTGCTTAAAATTGAAGGTGTTTATGCTTGAGATGAAACTGAATTTTACTTAGGCAAGAGATGTGCTTACATGTACAAAGTCACTGTGTACAACACAGTGACTCGTGGCGGCAATTCTAACAAAACCAGAGTAATCTGGGGATTGGAAACAGTGGCGTGGTTCGTGCCAAATTCCGAAGCAACCTTCCTGCTAAGGCCATTGGACAGAGAATATGTGTGATGCTGTATTCCTCAGGGATTTAAACTTACTGAAAAGTAAATGAGTAGCATTGTGGATTTGTTAAAATAAATAAATAAATGGAAGAATAAAAGTAAGAGTTGGAAGTATAGAGACATGCAATTTTAAAATAATGATGATAGAAAGTTAACATTTACTGAGCATATTTTATGTACCAGGCTAGGTTTTAAGCATTTTACATTAAAGAACTTATCTCCCAACAACCCTATAAGGTTAATACTATTATTTTTCTCACAATACAAGATGAGAGATCGGAGACATAGGTCAATAACTGGCTGAAGGTCACATAGCAAAGAAATGGCAGAGTTTACATTGAGCCAAAGGCTTTTGTTAATTTCTTTCACAGTAGAAATGACAATAAGAGACTGAGAGAGATTGCTGTTTTACCAAAAAAAAGCAAAACTGAAGGGCACCTTCCTGGAATAAGGGCCAGTAACAGAAATGACAACAAAGACTGATTATCCTGAGGCTGGAGGAAAAGAGGCAAGGGGGTTGTAGACAGGTACAGGGAGTTTTTAAATAAAGAGAAGGGGTTTTTAAAAAAGGGACTTACACTGTGTAACTTGGCTCGTATTTCTTAAATAAGTGAGATCAATTGGTGAAGGGAAGAACAGATAAGATTGAGGGTTTGAATTAGCGCGTTTGGAAATAAATGCTAAGAGATTTCACTAAAAATGATGTTGTTACCAACCTTCAGCTTTCCACCGTGTCAAAAACAGCTGTGAATGGCAACCAAGGAGCCACAAAACAGAAGATTATATTTTCTGAGATGTATTTGACACAAGGCCTTAAACCAGTTACAAAGAAATCTACTGACCAGTATTTGAGACTTGTTATTACAGATAATTAATATTTTATGCTGAATCACTTTATCAAAATAAAAACATTTATGACTCCATAGCTGTTTTGTTTATATGCCACTGATACAGTTCAATATGGATTTTTAACCATGGTGGTGGTGGTAAGGTGCTGTGGAGGCAGTTCCGACTCAGAGCAACCCTGAATCCCTTAACAACAGCATAGGGTTCCCTAGACTGTAAGTTTTTATAAGAGCAGAAAGCCTCATCTTTGTCCCTCTGAGGAGCTGGTAGTTTCAAATTGTTGACCTTGTGGATAGCAGCCCAACTTGTAAGCCACTATGCTACCCAAGCTCCATTATAAAACCATTGGTATTGCTAAGTGCCATTGACTCAGTTCCAACTCATAGCTACCCTGTCTACGGTTTCCAAAGAGCAAGTGGTGGGTTTGAACCACCGCCCTTGTGGTTCAAACTGACCTTGCATTATCCTGCAGTGCCTCACCAGGACTCCATAGGTTTTGCAAAATAAACATTTTTCTATCAGTGTTTTGACAGATGGGAAAGAGAACATTTGTACAGGGACTAAAATGCAATTACAAATCTTAAACCAGCACCCACACACTACCAGCTTTGACCCAAACAAAGAGGCAACTTCTGCATTGTATTTAATAAATTCTGTAAGCTAAACTTTCTAGTGGGTTGTCATGACAACTATTCACAATGTTAACGATCTAGTGTCTTAGTTATTTTGAGAAAATCTGCTTAATTTGCTAACAGAAGTTTTGACTTAAATGATTTAGAGGTTGCTCCTAGAATACTGTAAACACATGTGATTTTAAAATAGATTAAGAAGTTAAAACAGTGATCAAAACAATTGACTCCGTTGGAGAAAAACTGAGAATTCTCTTACAGTTAAAAGTCTAGGTCTGTTCTTAAAGTTCACTCATTTGTCTGAGAGGGCCATACTGAGTAGGAAGTTTTTCTGATAACATGTATAAGGGAGCTCCAAAAAGTTTGTAGAAAAATTCCATTGTCTCTTTCTTTTAATGTTTTTATTGTGGATTGAGTAAAAGTTTATAGGGCAGATCATCAGTTTTACATTCAACAAATCACGTACCTTATTTCATTACAATGATTATAATCCCCTCCAGGTACCATCAGATAACAGTATTTTTCTCTATTCACTTTAGCTTTGAAAAAAAAAAAAAAACATTCAGGCATATATAATAATTTCACCAAAGGACACATCCTGTTGGCCGCCAGCTCTTAGTCCCTCTCTTCCCATGAATGTAGAGTCCTCAGCTGCTCCCTCTCTCCATGTCTCCATCTCTGCCTCTACCTCTGGTGTTGCTGCTTCTCTGGATAAGGTCTCACATTCCGCTTGTGCTCTTCTCCCTTGATAGTCCTAGGATCCTTGTTTCTGGTTTGTAAGATTCACCACTCCCCTGTTTTTGTTACAAAACTTCTACCTTTACAATTGTGAGTTGCAATTAGTCATGATAACAATTACTCACTGTTGAATCATAAGAATCTTATCCCCATCTCTTTTAACCAGACCCATCTAGACAACATGAAAACTATCTCATGGACTCATTTTTTCCCCACACACTATTAAACTATGCTCCCCCTTGAAACCTTGTAAGCCAGTCACTTCATGCCTTTATCGCCCCTCATTTTAGGTAGCCAATATCTAAGTTGCCTGTCCCTATCTACCCTGTGTACAGAGGGGATAGCAATTGATACTTGATGTGAAAACTCCTTCCCTCTTTGTTGGTATTTAGAGTTAATACCTCCATGAAAATAGGTCAGGTTCATCAAATTGTAGCAATTTACCCTTGTTTCCTTTATCAAAAATTGTTTATTTTTTTTATCTTCCTCTAGTCGAGTTCTGATTATCAAGCCATCAAGGCTAGTTTGGGTGTTCTTGTGCATGTCACTTCATATCAACTAGATGCTTCACTCTCAGCTCTAGCCCTCTGTAGCTATGTCCTTGTCCACAGGCTCAGGCGTCCCCAGGTCTCACCACACTCTGGATCAACCAGCCTTTCTTCTTCTCTCTCTTATCTCCAGGTCAATGGGAGTCAATGACTGTGGTTGAACTCAGTCCTTTTCTTCATTGCTGCCTTTCCTCCTCTTCCACTCACTAGTAGATCAAAGGTCGCCAGCAAGCTTACATGGCTGTTCATGTGTTTCCTTTGAGTTTCAGTCTTAGAGGGGAGTTTGTCCTTAAGGAACATGATTGCTTGCCTCGATGGCTTCCCAGCAAACAGCTTGCTTATTCTTGTAGTAGCCAGTCATACTAACATTTTTGTTTTGGGTTATTCCTGATAATCTTTCTTTGAAGATGTATCTTCTGTCACTCGAGCTGTTCCAGGCTGGTTGCTTGTCGTTTCTAGTGGGAATATCCCACCTCATAAGGTTCTGGATGGGACTCAGGATTCCACCTAAGGTCCTATACTCTGCAAAGACTCCACAAGAGGCCTATTTCACTGGGCAAGTTCTAGAACCCCTTTTAGGTATTCCAGTCAGTTATAGGCTGAAGATGGGCTTACAAGTTTTCTGTAATCATGTTTCCCAACATTCCTTTCTATCCCACTGAAGTGTCTATTTTACAATAGTAGGCAAGAGAAACCAAAATTCATAAGACAGTCAAGCATCTTAGTATTATTTCCCCTCTTCAAACTATGCCTAGATCCCTGTAACACAGAGCCCTGTTGTTCCAAGGTTGAGCATACATCACTATTTACCTCTGTCCCACTTAGCCCATGCACACCTATCTCAGTGTTCCCCTATCTACCTTGTTCTCCTACCTCCTCCCACTCCTTGTATTGCCCTCCCCAACACCCGGACTATGTGTCTGCCCTTATCCTGTGCTCTGCCATTGCCTCCCTCCACCCCACTCCAACCCTCACCATTGTGGTTACCTTATATTCCATTAACTTTTCCCTCCATTTAAGACAGTGTATTTTATCCTGTAATCTACCTGACCATCTCACACCTGGAACTCTGTTCTGTGTTTACCTTCTTTCACATTGTAATTGTTTTGACCATAGACTGACCTCCCAGATCCTCTGAATTTGTTCTCATAGATTTATTCTGTTCTCAACTCTTTCATTTGTCGATTGAGTTCAGGTTGATGCTGCCATGTATGTCATTCTGTAGTTGTTGTCTGTTCTTGTTGGTTCTCAGTCCACAGAACTCCCTTTAGGAAGTTTTTCATCACAGGGTTGGCTTTGGCAAAATCCCTTAGCTTCTGTTTATCCTGGAATGTTTGATTACACCTTTGTATTTGATTGACAGCTTTGCTGGGTAGAGGATTCTTGGTTGGCTTTTTTTTTTTTTCTCAAGGTTTTATGTATGTCTCACCATTGCCTTCTTGCCTGCATGGTTTCTGTTGAGAGATCTGAGCTTAGTCTGATTTGCTTGCCTTTGTATGTTACACTTCTTTTTTCCCTAGCTGCTTTCAGGATTGTTTCCTTATCTTTGAATTTGGAGAGCTTGATTATTATATGCCTCGGTGATTGTCTTTTAGGGTCTATCCTTCCTGGGGTTCGTTGAGCTTCTTGAATGCTTATCTTTTCATGTTCAGGATGTTAGGGTAATTCTTTTCCAGCAGCTCTTCAACTAACTCCTCTGTCAACTTGCGTGATTCTTCCTGTTCTAGAATGACAGTAATTCAAGTTATTCCTCTTCATGTTGTCCAACATGAATCTTAGACCTTCTTCAGATTTTTTTAATCTTTTTATCTGCTTGTTCTTCTATCTTAGTGGTATTGAGAGATTTATCTTCCAGCTCACTAGTTATGGCCTGCATCTCTTCAATTCTACTCCTTTACCATTTCTGATATTCTATTATTAATTGTTTGGACCTCTTTCTGTAGGTTTTGAATTGTTTCCAATGCTGTATCTATCTTATTTGATTGTTCCTGTAGTGCTTTCCTAACTTCTTGCTTATTTTTCTCAACTCCATTGTAAAGTGTATTGATACATTTTATAATCATTTTTCTGAATTCTTTCTCAGGCATTTCCAGAGCCTGCCCATCTTCCAGTATGGAGTGTAGGTCTACTTCCAGCTCATTTGTCTCAGTCACTTTATGTCGTTTGTGGACATGTGTTTACATGAGTATCTGTTTCTATTTTGGGGGCATATTTAGTAGTTAGCTGTGGCCTTAATACTTAAATGGGTGTGTATTTTGGTATTTTTTATGCTTTCTTATTGCCTCCAGGTAGATGTTATCAGGATTTGGGCTTTCCTTTTCATTCTTCTTCCTGAGAAATTTCAAGATGCCACTGTTGGTCTTTGTGACATAACTCAGGATTTAATTTTTGGCCTATTTCCTTTTTAGTCTGCCTGTCCCGTTCCACAACCCCCATTCAGGCCTTTTTCCTAGTGATAAACAGTTCAGGCCCATCTGTGGCCGTTTTGCACTGCCGTTTGGTTTTAAGTGGAAACTGTGACTTTAATTTTGAGGAGATCTGTGCACATGCGTAATAGAACCCTTTGGGGCTGGGGGAGGTGTCCACTCACTCAGGCATCCCCTCTAGTCACGAGAATGGAGGTCAACAGACTGCGAGAGACCAATGAACAGATACGAAAAAAAGCATGTCTACACCTTTATCTCCGTGGTTCTGTCAGACCACTCAGGGAGCAGATGGGAGCCTTGGACTAGAAAACACTGGATTTTTTGCTTCTGCTACAAATTCCACTGGCTGTAAGCCTTCTAACTTTCTAAATATTCCTTTATGTGTAGTTCAGAGTGCTGGGACTGTCCCCTGAGCCTGCTTGGTCCAGTATTCTGCATTGTTGCTAACGGAGCTCCTCACTGCACTGCTAACCGTTCCACCATCTTGTTTGTTCCTCTCCATTTTCTTTTAATTACATTCTTCCATGAACTTTGTAAGCCCTCTCTTATTTGACAAAGACACTTTATTACCCCCACATACATAAGTATAAATCAAATTTTGTTAGTAACTTGCATTTGTCACACACACACCAGATGCTAACATGTAAATTCTCCTAGGTAAATGCAGAGATTGATACTTTGCTCAAAATAGTCCTTTAAAACCTATCCAATAGATTTTGTAAGTTCGTTTTCATAGTTCATTCTCTATGCGAAGGGGGTGACCCAGGGGGTCTTGGGCAGCAACTCTGTCAACAAGGATAGAACTGTTTCAGAGTTTATCAGCTGGTATGTGCTATTGTTGGCATTGTTGTACCTACAGACCCAACATCTTTCTTTCTGTTTCTTTTGTTTTAGGTTGCTCCACTGTGTCTAGGAAGAGCTGGCGCTTGTGTTGTGACTGTAAAACTGTAATTTAATCCTCTGTTTCCTAAACGAAGGATGTTTTCTTCTTTCATGAATCGAATACAACTGTTCCACTGTCAGTGGATACATTTCTGCTCTATTTGCAGGACTGCATTCCTGAGCACAAAGCTCTGATCTCAAAGTGAAAATGTTAAAACAAAGGAGGACGATGCAAACAAACCAGGATTCAAGACTTTCATTTTCTAAGTAAATCAAAACTACAATTGGTGGATGTTGTTGTTAAGTGCCATTGAGTCGGTTCCGTCTCATAGTGACCCTGAATAGAATATCCGAGGAGCAACTGGTGAGCTTGAACCACCAACCTTGCAGTCCAGCTCATTAACCCAGAGTGCTATAACAGGACTCCACAACTGGTAGATAGTCAACATATATTCTTGATATAAAGGACACGGACAAATGGCCTGTTCTCAAATATAACCCAATGTTAACTGGGAAGTTTGTTTATTCTTAGTCAAGCACTTTTTACTCACATTATCCAGATTTCTTTTATTAAAGTGCAAATATACCAGATAAAACTTCTAAAACTTTGTTTCCTAACTTTTTAATCTTGTTTATCATACATTAGTTGTCGTAAATTTCATTTGTCTCCTTGCTTATTTAACCACAACCACTATTTTAATAACTTACCAAACACTGTTGTTGTTAAATGCTGTCAAGTTGGCTCCAACTCTTAGTGATCCTGTACAGGGTTTACAAGGAGCGGCTGGTGGGTTTGAAGTACCAACCTGGCAGCTAGCAGTCCAGTGCTTATCCTACAGCACCACACCAGGACTCCATTAAAGACTCTGCTATATAGTATTTTCTGAAACAGCTGCATTATATATGCTCTGGTTGTGGATTTTATTTTTTAAATGGGCATTAGTAAGAAAAACATTAAAGAGCTAACAGAATAATGACCAAATAAAAACTTGACACAAACTTCAAAAATTATTTAAATATTCATTCCATTTACATTTAGACTCACCAAGAGCTACATGTTATGATATTCTTAAATTGAAGCGTAGTATTTGGCATTAAATTTAAGATATACAAATCTTTGTAGAGAAAACAAATTAAATGTTATATACCATATAATGTTCTTTCACCTACCTAGTATTTAATTATGAGGATTTGTTTTCTTTTATATGAAGAAAAATATTTTGATTTTATCTTTTTATATTGACAAAATTGCTTTGATACTCTTACGTTCTCAAGTCTTTATTTGCCTCCCCTTCCTTGTTTCTAATGTCTGTCGCAGTTGTAACCCATTGTAATCAAACTATTTTAGGGGAATGGGCTTACTGAATATTTGAAAAATAAGTTTAAAATGTTTGTTACCCAAAGTTTTGTACATTTGTAAACTCTAACTACATATGTGAATGTTAATACTCTCAGTGAATATTTATTGTTTGCAAAATACACTGGGCAGTAACATTTTGTGATAAAGCTGTAACATATAAGTCATTAACTTATATCTTAACATAAAATGAGTACAAAGTAAAGTCCCTTCTTTTAAAATACAATGTTGTGGTTAATGTGTTTTTCTACTTTATATATCAGAATAGCCTTGATTTTAGTTGCTTTCTTTAAAAATTGAAATTTTTTTTTTTTTTTAATAAAGTGATTTTGAATGTTCAACAATTAGTTCTACTTTGAAACCCAAGAAATAGAGTACTTCTAGTCCTGTGTGACACTATAGGATAAGCACTGGACCATACAGCCCCACACGCTGGAATTTCACTGGATTGAGTCGTTAAGGGGCACACTGCTTTAGGGTCACTGGTTGCCCCGTAGCAGATGGCAGCCTCAGTGGACCTGGCAAAGCTTCCAGCATCAGAAAGGAAGGTGATTTGAACAAAGGTGCCCCATATACATACCTCTTAGCAGCTAAGTGCTAGTCATTATCTGTTCTCCCAAAGGCCCTTGACAGAAGCCTCTGCATGTATTCACACTCTGAGACTGGGGGCTTGAAACCAAAATAAGACCCTCAGTCCTGTTACATTGAGCTTAGTTCTAAAACCACATGAAGAGACATACTGCACTCAAAATATCTCCGCACTAAATACTGCATTGAATCAGACCAAGGTAAGGGTTGGGGTGTCAGGGATGTAGGCAGGCCCACTCCCTGCTCCTTTACAGTTTTCTTTAAAACCTGTATCTCAGCCAGAAGGAGACCACACATGGAGATGGTGAATGCACCGAATTTCACATGCAAATCTTGGCCTTTCCTGCACAAAATAATTCAGACATTATATATAAACAGCAGTGAAACTTTTACTTTTTTTTTTTAATTCACCTAGACCTATAACATAAATATGTATAAATTCTTTGTTTATTTGGGCTCGAGAGGAAGGAGAGAATTATAGAGCAAGAGAAAAGGGCTATAATTGGAATACCTAAAAGAGGTACTAGAACTTGCCCAGTGAAATAGGCTACTTGCGGAGCCCTTGTAGTGTATAGGACAATAGGTGGAATCCTGAGCCCCATCCTGAATCTTCTGAGGTGGGACATTCCCACTTGAAAGGACATGCAGACTAGCCTGGAGCAGCTAGAGGAACAGAAGATACTTCTTGAAAAAAAGAACAGCAGGAAAAATCAAAAACAAAAATGGCAGTCTGGCTACTAAAAGAAGAAGCAAGTTGTTCTCCAGGGAGCCTTCAATGGAAGCAATCAAGTCCCTTCAAGACAAATCCTCCCTCCAAGACTGAAACTCTAAAGGAATACACAAGTAGGCATGTCAGCTTGCTGGTGACCACGTTGGTCTACTGGTGAGTGGAAGCGGGGAAAAGGCAGCAATGAAGAAATGGGCTGAGTTTGACCACATTCTATAGACTCCCATCAACCTGGAGATGAGAGAGAGAAGAGGAAGGGCTGATTGGCCCAAAGTGTGGTGAGACCTGGGGACTCCTGAGCCCATGGCCAAGGACATAAACACGGAGGGCTAGAGCTGAGAGTGAAGCATCCAGCTGATAATGAAGTGAGCGAAGACACAAGAATGCCCAAATTTGCAGATAGTACCCAATTGACCTACCCTCGATGGCTTGATGATCAGAACTGAATTAAAGGAAGATAAAGAAATTTGATAAACAAGTATAAATTGTTACAATTTGAGGAACTTGACCTAAACTTATGGATGTAACGTCTCAAAATACCAACAGAGAAGGAAGAAGTCTTCACATCAAGGATCAAACCTATCCCCTCTATACACAGGATTGATAGGGACAGGCAACTTAAACATTGACTATGTAAAATGGGGGGAGGCTATAAAGGCACAAAGTGGCTCGGTCACAAGTTTTCAAAAGGGAGTTCAGTTTCATGGGAGGCGAGAGGTAGAAACCCCCCTCACACACACACACACACACACACTGAATAGTTTTCCTCCTATCTAGACTGTTCTGGTGAAAAGGGATGGAGATGAGATTCTTATAATTGTTGTGAGTAATTGCGACTGTCACAACTGTAAAAGTTGTGACATAAAAAAAGTTGAAACATAAAGGGTGGGGAGAAGTTAATCTTATAGTCCAGGAGCTGAGAACCCTAGGACCATTAAAGGAGAAGAGCATGAGGGGAATGTGGGACCCTAACTGGAGAAGCAGTGACACCAGTAATGGAGGCAAAGATGAAGACATGGAGAGACAGAGCAGCTGAGGACTCTAGAGTCATGGAAAGACAAGGCTGTGTGCTGGTGGCCAGGAGGCAGGTTTGTAGAATCCCCCTGGTTGTTTAAATGATTATATATTCCTGAGTGCTTTTGTGTACATCAAAAAACAACAACAACCAGAGGGAATAGAAGCAAATACTGTTGAATGCATGGAGGGGATTGTAATCATTGCAGTGAAACTAAATATGATAGGATGAGTGCAAAACTGATGTTCTCCCATGTAAAATATCACTCACAATGAAAGCTTTTTAAATTAAAAAAGAAAATTGTTTTAATTTAAAAAAGAAGGGCTGGAGACCAGGTAACCATTTTGTTTTTCTTTTCTTAAACAGGAAGCACTGTCATTCTGGTGGCTGGTGAACCTGGAATGTACATCTCAAATCTGTGACAATTCACAGGACTGTTCTGTTGAATGGCCAATGAGAAGAAATTTGTTTTTCTTTGGACAACTAATGTACACTGGAATCAGGTGTGAGTGGTCTAAACATATTTTAAAGTGTACAGGCAGAGAATATTGAAGGTTTTGAATGAGTCTTCCTCCAAACATGATGCCACATTCTTCAAATAATGCAGCTTCTTGGATTATTTGCTCAGCATACAGACTGAATAAGTATGGTGAAAGAATACAGTCCTGGTGCAAACCTTGATTGAATTTAAACTATTAACATTTCAAGCCAGATATTCAAGTCCATTTCAAAAGTGCATGTAGAACAAAGGATCTCAGAGCTGATGTTCAATGAATTTTTCCCTTTAGTAGTAAACTTCGTATTAGTCACACCGCATTGGAAATTGTTGATTCCTTAGTATTTGAGGAAACATTTTGTATAAATCTCTGATGAAACTTATATATACATTTTGTTTTAGAAAAGTAAATGCAAGAAAAAAATAACCTTTCAAGTTTTCAGAAACATTAGATAAATTTAGTCATGGTATGACTAAATTTTTAAAAATAATTCATTAAAAATGAACTTTATTGCCAACAAGTTAGATAACCCAGATTAAATGGGAATTTTTCTAGAAACACACCAGAACTAACTAAAAAATAAATAGAAACTCATCACAGACTAATGAAATGTAAAGAGATTGAATCAATAACCAAAACTTCCCAACAAAGAAAATTTCAGTACAAAATAGTTTCTCTGGGTAGAATAAACAAGATGGCGGACAGGATTGCAGTGCAGTGAAAAGCTCCATCAGCAACAACACAGAATACCAGACTAAGCAGGCTTGGGATAGTGCCAGAATTCTGAACCACATAGAAAGGAATATTTAGAAGGTTGGAAGGCTTACAGTTAGGGGAATTAGTAGCAGAAGCAAGAAATCCATTGCTTCCTAATTCAAGATGCTC